TCTGTAGAAGCAGAAAGTGAACGTGCGATTGCTCAAAGCGGGGGTACCGTGAATGAGAGTGACTACTAATGGGTATGAGATTTCTTTTTGAGATGATAATGCTCTAAAATGAACTCTACCAAGGGTTGCACCATTCTCTGAGTACACTGAAAACCACTGACCTGTACACTCTAAATGAATAAATTGTGTGGCATATGAATTACATCTCAAGCTGTTAAAAATGTTTTTGGTAAAACGCTTTCGTTTTGCAAACGGCCACCAGGTAATTTTATTTCTCCTTGGCAAATACTTCCCTAGTTCCTGTTCCGTTTTGGGGCTGGATTCATCACCCTCAAGCTTCATAAACTGTTTTTTAACACATGCTGAGGACGTCGAAGGCTCGTTTTGATCTCTCATGTTTATGGTTTCTGAGTAACACTCTGAACACCGAATGCATTTGGAAATGGGGTATTTCACCACATTGTTACCTGTTTTATTGATGATTAATAACTGAGTGAGAGGATCACGTGGTGGTTGTCCAGGAGCAAGGAAGTATAAATGAGGAGAAAGTTCCCAAGTGTAACTGCTCTGATATATTTTCACGAAGATATACTCCAAAAGAAGAGGACAAAATCCAACTCCGAGAATCAACAGCCTGCAGAGAAGAAGATGGCCAATGTGAATGCACAGTCCTTTCCTAACCGTTTGAAAGTGTCTGAGCAGATTTTAATGTAGTGAGACCTAGAAATGATGAAAATTAAATACATAGCTCTCTGACTCGTTTCTTGAGTGTCTTGTCCTTTTCCTGTCTCTACATTAGAGATGATAAAATGTAGATGCAGCCATTGTTTATTTGTCCTGCTGCTCTCTGGCCATTGGGTAGCCCACACAATTTCATGGAACATGTGTCCTTTAACGCTTGGTCCAGATTCTGTCTCTCTCCTGGGATTCCAGTGTGACGCTCTCTCTTTCTGCTGGTTAATTTGTCAACACATTATATTCAAATTTCTGTACATCCACTCCTCTTCATAGAGTCCCTATTTCTGTATGTGAGTGACTGCAGGGTTTTCTCAGTCTCCAGGCTCAAATTGTCCATTCTTCTTTGCTCTTTATTCTTCTATAGTCTCCATTTCAAATAAGTTGAAATTTTTCATTACATCTTCAAAATCTTTCTCCATTTCTAATTTTACTCTGATTGGAATTCTTGTAAGTGACTGGCCTCTCTCTAGACTCTGTTATATAGTGTTGCCAGATTAATATTAAACATTTTTCTTAAATCATGCTAATCTCCTTGTCAAAGATTCTCAGTGAATTCTCATTATTTATTTATCTAGCAAGCATTTATTGATACTCTATTATGTGTCAAGCTTCCTATCTTTTTGATGCTTAATGAGCATTTGCATAGACAAGGCACTGATTGACAAAGTGCTGTGGACACCAGGGTGCTAATGAGGGGTGACGTGATTCTTAAGAACAGGAATAATGCCCGTTATGCACACAGGAGGCACGGGAAGCGAGCTATCATCACTGAAGAGGGTTGGAAGGAAGTTATGACATCTAGGTAAGAGCAAACAGGATACAACGGGAGAGCCAGGACATCCAGGGAAGAGTCAGCAGAATAACTGTTTAGCATCTAAAATAGGGCATTAGGATATGGATTCTGGGAAAAAAGATCCACATCCCCATGTTTCTGTCACCAGCCACAGTGGAAACTTTGAAAGAGAAGGAATATTACAGAAAAACATATGTTACTTCAACTTTCCCCCTAAGACTGCCCTGAAACATTATTAATTCTAACCTGCTGGCCAGCTAACAGATAACTAGTAGGACTAGTGACTAGAATGGGTATTATGCTTTGCCCAGTTTTACAGATGCAGAAATTTATTTTATCTTGTTTGTTTTCTCTTCTTTTTACAGCTTAGTATTTTTTAATGCTCTGACTGAAAAGCAAAAAAGTATGGCCCTCGGATACTCACAGTGACAAAAGAGCTTTCCTTTCATGCTTTAACTTTAGCAAGCGAACCCTTGCGATTGTGCAGATTTGCTGCCCCCAGAGAGCCATGCCTCCTGTGGTCTTTTTTGTCTCATTAACTGAAGAGAGAAATTGTTCCATCTCAACAAGCTTTTCTGTGTCTCCAGCTCCTTCTGCTTGTGCTTCTCTGAAGTTGGCAATACCTGCAAAACACACACATGCACACACGCACTCACACAAACAATTCATAAAACCCCACTCCAGATGTGCTTAATGGAGCTTTCTGTAAGACTTTGTTTTACCAAGAAGATTAGTGTCTTCTGCATAACTGAAGGCATTATGTGGTATTACTGGCTGCTGCCGTGAACTAGAAAAGCACATGAAGGATTCATTTCTTGGTCAAAAAGAGTAGAAAGGAGATCTTAGATAATTTAGATACAGACAGTACATTAAAAAGGTTAAGTAAACATGCAAGATCATTATACTGCTTAGGTGTGACCTGGGAACTTGAAGGAAACAATTGAAAGGAAACAATTATCTTAGGTGTTTGCCTAGAGAAACAAGCGACAAATTGATATGCAACAAACTGGGGGCTAACTGTAAATTTTTATGTCCCTCCCTTGTAATTTATAGAAAATAAAATTCAATAAGGCCATAGAATAGTTGAACAACACTATCATCCAACTTCACCAAATTGACATCTATACAACTATCCACATGACAACTGAAGTTCTATAAATATACATTTTATATGTATATAGTTCTGTAAACACACACACACGCATTTGTATGTATATATGTACAATTTTTTTAAATGGACAAGAAATATTCACCAAAATAGACCAAATTCTGATTCAACAACAAGTCTCAATGAATTTAAAAGTTTAAAATCATAGGTTATGTTTTATGACCACACCAAAAATTTTAATGTCAATAGTAATAATAATAATTTTGTAGGAAATCTACAAATATTTCTAAAATTGAACAACCAATGAGAATAATGTCTCATCAAATAGGGTATGTCATTAAAGATGTAAAAATTATTTTAAATAACCAAATAGAAATTATGGAGTTGAGATGTACAATAACTGAAAAAATATTCACTGCAAAATAAAACCTCAACAGACTTCATTGGGCACGAGAAAAAAAACCAATAAACACGACAAAAAATAAGTTGAGATTTTTAAGTCTAAGGAATAGAAAGAAAAAAGAACAAAGGAGAATGAAGTATCAGAGAAATGTGAGACACTATCAAGCAAACTAACACGTATGAGCGCATATAATAATGGAAGTTCAAGAAGGAGGGTACAGACAGAAAGGGTCACACAGTATAGCTGAAGAAATAATAGCTAAAAACTTCCCCAAATCGATGGAAAACACCAACGTACACATACAAGAAGCTCAACAAACTCCAAGCAAACACAAGGAGATCGACACCTGAAGACTTCACAGTCAAACTGTCAAAAGCCAAAAACAGAAGGAGAATTGAGAAAGCAGCAAGAGAAAAACAACTCATCAGACACAAGAGACCCTCAGTAGGATCTAAAGCCGACTCCTCATCAGAAACCACGGAGGCCAGCAGGCAGTGAGATGACATATTACACTTGAAGAGAGAGATTTAAAATAAATGTTTTGTCTGAAATTGCTCTTGGAATACAGAGTAAGACGAGGGCAGTGAGCCTTGATAGGAGGAGATGGGCCATCTTTAATAGCAAGGCAATATTGGAAGAAAGGTAACAAATGTCACAAGGCTGGGTTTTGACTTTATAGATGGTTGTCTAAGCATGGTCTGAATCATGGGACCCCACCTGTTGTAATCACATCTTTGGATCAGTGTCTTATTGAAATATATATTCCAACAAGATACTGTGAATGCCTTTACATGATAGTTTTCATGCATTTTATTTACCTGATTCGTCAATAGTTGATTTTCCTTCTAGTTTCAGGAACACCTCATTCAAGGTTGTCATGGAAACACCATAATTCTCAATTCCCAGGCCAGGACGTCTATCAAGATCCTCATAAAGTTCTAAAGAACACATACACAATAACAAATCAAACAACAAAATCGTAAGTGAACTGAAGACAACTTTTCACACTAAAAAGTGCAAATATGGTATTTCAAAATGTCAGATATTTTAAAAGCTAACATTTCATAATAAGTAGTCTTATTCTTCAAATTCTATGTATTATTTATTAATTTTATATATTGTGTTACAGCCCATACATTAACTTTTGTTCAAATATTAATTTATAGTCATTTATGTTTCTATTAAATTTCGTTTGTTTTTTTCTGACTTGTTTTTAAAATTTAATTAATAACGGAACTTCAAATATTTTCACCCCTAAGCCTAATTAATTAAAGCGCCTTTTACAGAGAACAGCTACAAATGGGAGCCATTTGGGTTTTAGCTAACAAAAGAGAAAGAACTAATTTTTTGAGAATTGGTTGGATTGTGCAGAACTTTCTTCAGGTCAGAAAATATCTGTCAAGGAAAGCCCATAGGAGATAAATACTTTAAAAAAAAATTTCGCCTTTTGACTAAGGAAGAAAAAAAAAATCACAAGATCTCATAGAGAATGAGGAATTGACTCAGGGAATTTTCTTGGAATAACTGTAAACTGAGTTAATACTCCCTCCAGCAATTCCACATCCATTCACTCTTCAGTTCATTCCGCAAAAATACATTTGAATCTTAAAACAATGTTCTCAAAACAATGAGCAACATCTGTGCCTGCGTGGATTTGAATTACAATGGTTAATCAAATGAAGTTTAAATAAAAACCTAATTTTAAATCCTAGTGTGATTATAGAAGCCCTGAGGCTACAACCTGCAGCTTCTCTCTGCGGAAAAGGGTAAGTCAAAAGTCCTGCCTTGATTGGAATACCATGTACAGAAAAGTCAAAAGAAAGTAATATTCAAACTACTAATGCATATTATGTGTTATTCTTCATTTTACCGAAAATTTTACAAATCTCCTCTAAATTATAACTACTATTAAAATGCATTAATTAGGGTTCAATTAGCACTTTGTCTGGTGGTTCGAAGGAACACTTAGGGTGTCACCATAAAGTGCATATTTGAATAGCTTTGGGGGGTAATTTATGTGGCTTTATTAACCATGCACATGGTAAGGTTAATTGTTTTAACCAGTCAATGCAGGTCCTCGGCGCGCCCCATCACCAGGGAGCTAATTCTCTGAATGACAAACACAATTAGT